TAGGCAATAACGTTGACAATAACGTAGCGTATATCTTCAACATACGTTGTCTATGACCAAAAACTATGACCAAAAAGGTAAGAAGATATGTTTTCAGTGGACTTTTAAAATTTGCTTTGCTTGAGAAAATAAAAATATACCGTTCGTGTTTTTTTTTCTTTTGATTTAGTCGAGTTGGTTTTGCATCAAACACAATGTAATTTTCAGCAATCGAGATCTGGCAGCAACAGCGCATTTTTCCGCTTCGGCGAGCACTTCGCTGACAGCTTACCTCGTGCATTAAATCTGAGCAAATCACTGAGAACGCGCTATAATCCTGAAGAGTCATAGCAACAGAGCGGAGGCGAGAAAGCTGTGGAGAATCCGTTCGGCTGGAAGCAACCATAACTGACGTAGATTTACAGAAAATTACTGCCGTTTGGCAAAAAAATAATTTTACGTACTTATTCCTAACTCTTTAAGCGTTAAGTTACATTTCAAATGACAAGGGATCAACTTATAATCATGTTTATATGAATTATCCCGTGAACTTTTTCTCTCAAATGGCCTGGGTATGCGGAGCATTCGCAGCTTATATGGATGGAACGCCACTGCTACATACTTGTTTTTGTATAGCAATGAATGTTTTGCTCATGTTTTTCCTCCTTGTTTGTTTCGTCCCAACAGAGAGCAAGGAGGTGTACAAAAGACAAGTGATGTCTATCACATGTATTGCCATGGGGATCAGCTTTCTAGGCACCCTCTGCATAGCTCTCTACTGTCGGAACAAGTAAGTGGACCTCAGAATTTATCAACGCTTGAGCTGTACCCCAGAGCATATCATTTGAAAGAAAGGCACAATATACCAAGCTAGAGGAAAGAGTGACTGCTATGGAAACCCAGAAACATAATGACTGGAGGTGGGGACGTAATTACTTTCCCATAAAAGCACCCACAACTCTACTGGCCACCTTTCCAACAGGAATGAATTCAAACATTTTTGGCCCATGGCATGCATAGAATGCACTGCTGCTGGTGCTTTTACTATTCAGCTTTTACAGGCTCGTTTCAACTATTTAATTGAGACAAATACACTGAACAAAATTATAAACGCAACACTTTTGTTTTTGCCCCCATTTTTCATGAGCTGAACTCAAAGATCTAAGACTTTTTCTATGTACACAAAAGGCCTATTTCTCTCAAATATTGTTCACAAATCTGTCTAAATCTGTGTTAGTGAGCACTTCTCCTTTGCCGAGATAATCCATCCACCTCACAGGTGTGGCATATCAAGATGCTGATTAGACAGCATGATTATTGCACAGGTGTGCCTCAGGCTGGCCACAATAAAAGGCCATCATAAAATGTGCAGTTTTATCACACAGCACAATGCCACAGATGTCGCAAGTTTTGAGGGAGCGTGCAATTGGCATGCTTTCAGCTTTCTAGGCACCCTCTGCATAGCTCTGTACTGTCGGAACAAGTAAGTGGACCTCAGAATTTATCAAAGCTTGAGCTGTACCCCAGAGCATATCATTTGAAAGAAAGCCACAATATACCAAGCTAGAGGAAAGAGTGACTGCTATGGATCAGAGGGCGTCTGGCACTTTGGAGAGGTGTTCTCTTCATGAACGAATCCCGGTTTTCATGATAATGCATGGCCCCATGTTGCAAGGATCTGTACACAATTCCTGGAAGCTGAAAATATCCCAGTTCTTGCATGGCCAGCATACCCACCGGACATGTCACCCATTGAACATGTTTGGGATGCTCTGGGTCGGTGTATACGACAGCGTGTTCCTGTTCCTGCCAATATCCAGCAACTTCGCACAGCCATTGAAGAGGAGTGGACCAACATTCCACAGGCCACAATCAACAACCTGATCAACTCTATGCGAAGGAGATGTGGTTGCGTTTATAATTTTGTTCAGTGTATATTCACAGTCATCATCTGTTTTCCCCCTTTTAGCTCCTCAGAGATGCTAATTGTATTTAAAAATGCATTTGTTAAAAGTAGGGCTGGTCCGAATACCATTTTTAGTGGACTTATATGAACCTCAGATCCGTTGGGTAATCTATTATATCTATATTACCAGCGACACTATAAGGAGGAGGAGAAGGACCACCCATGGAAATATGAATGAGTAAACTCAATATGATGGGTATAGGATAAAGCGAGAAATAATAAATAAAATAATAAAAACGAGATAAGCACATGACAAAATCACTAAAACTGCAATTAAAATAAAAAACATAGTATACACAATTCAAAATATGAATAAATATAATAGCGATTATATACTGTAATAGTTATAATAATGCTAGTTTTCGAGTTTACTCTAGCCTTGACTTTTTTGTCAGATTTTATTCCTGATTTAAAATAATACAACATTATTGAAACACAATCTTGACTTATATTTTTGGAGATTTTGGTCCTTACCCTTTCAAAGCTGTATGCCTATTACTTCCATTAGGGCTGTGCAAAAAATCTAATGCGATTTTCATGCGCATCTCGTTGAGAGAAATAGGCCTTTTGTGTACATAGAAAAAGTCTTAGATCTTTGAGTTCAGCTCATGAAAAATGGGGGCAAAAACAAAAGCGTTGCGTTTATAATTTTGTTCAGTGTATATTCACAGTCATCATCTGTTTTCCCCCTTTTAGCTCCTCAGAGATGCTAATTGTATTTAAAAATGCATTTGTTAAAAGTAGGGCTGGTCCGAATACCATTTGAGATTTACTACTAATCACAGGAGCGGCTTTACTGACGAGATGCGTATGAAAATCACATTCGATTTTTTGCACAGAGACAAATACACAGGCTATATATCGCATGTGAGGATCCTGCAGGTGGCGGATTATTACTAATCTTTTCTGCAGCAGCTGGAATAATGACATTTATCATTTTGATGGCGGATTGTAATCCAGAAAGGATTATGTGTTTATGAAACACGTGACTGAAATTAAATTATTCCAGTTTTAAATGTGCATCTGATTACAGATAGCCTGGGATTACACATGATTTGTATTTTAAAGAGAACCAGTTCGAAGGAAGAATAATTTGCTTTTTGGGTTAAAATAATTTCTTAATATGAAATTTGAATGGTATGACAATTAGAGATTAGACTGTACAGAAATTGAAATCTACATGCTAATACACTTGGGATGTAACGATATTATCAATATCACAATATCACGATAGCAAAACTCGATATTATCGTGGTCACATGACGATATGAAAGAATAGGTCTTCTGGGCAAAAATATATGTTTTAAACCATTATGCCTTGGCACAGTATCTGTCAAACGAACTAAAACTGAAAGCACAATATGGCTTAATCCTTTCATCAAGTCTGTTTTTGCAGCATGTTCCAAAGAGAAGCGCACACATTGTTGAGGCGATCAGCTCGTGATCCGGTGTTCACAGTGAATTAATGCAGTGAACTCGTTTATTGCATATGCTGTGAGTTTAGCGCGCGTTTAGGAATACTTTATGCTTTATTTTCACGGCAGATGATTACAGCATTTGTAGTGAGACGCATTTTTGTATTTTCACCGAAGCTGCGTTCCCTTCAAAATAAAAGCTCTAACGTTACTGCCGTTTCCATCAAAATAAAAGCTTAAAAGTGCAGCATGAATTGCTGACAGCTAGAGGTTTAAATGGGTAACGTTACTGTAGTCCAAATTCAAAATATCTCTTTCAAGTCTAGAAATTAGGAAAGAAGTATTGTAATTTCCCTACTGTAGTGTAAAGCAAAAATAATATACCTATGAAATATTCATTTTCATTTATTTTACAGTGCAATTGTTTTACAATATGCTACTTGTTGTTGTTATTATTATTATATTCAAATTTGTTTGGCTTCCTAAAACACCAGTGTCAATGTCATTTAGACTGAGACAGTATTTCACAAATAAAAAGAGGGTTGAGTCCCCTTTAAACTTCAGGTACAAGGTAATTCACTGACTTTTTTCTGACTTAAGTTTTCTTAGTTAAGAACATGGGTTGGAGCTCTTAATTTTGAACTCTCAAAGTGCATTAGATAGAATAATTTAACTTTAAAATTTAGAAAATTTAAATTTTTTTTCAATTCTTCATGTCTTTTTTTCTTTTTAAATATCGCAATAAATATCGTATCGTGGACTTTATATCACAATATTATCATATCATGAGATTACATCCCTATAATACACACTATATACACATAGTCACGCAATGCTGATGTTGTTAACATTAACAATTTGAGAACAAAGTATAACAATAATAATTTGCACGGTTTGATGTGATATGAGCTAACTGATCGTTAGATTTAATCAGCATTGGTAGAGCGATTTACTGTAATGCTTTTTTTTCTCAGTTGGTCAGAACAAAAGTGGCAGACTTGTTACTTGTTCAGATGACAATATCCGGTGAAAACTCTTATTTGGGTCATATATTCCAAGACGTAGGCTAGAATCTGTGATTCCTAAGTACAGGATCCACACCGGTGCGGTGACTGACAGCCACACATTCACCTCAAAACATTAGATTCATCCGCGCTGGAGCCGTGCCGGTGCACAACCCACGCAATGAAGATAATTCCGCAAGTTACTGCAGTTACAGGTTTTCAAACAGAGATGGCGACTAAGAGGCAAAACTTACAGACTGCAGCTTTAAATATAAACAAATTGCTTAAAACGATTGGGAACCCTGAAGAACTTCTAAAATTTCTGGAATACTATGTTTTATTATTTCAGCTTTAATTATAATTAGTTTCTTTTTAACTGAATGCCCAAAAATAAAAATAAGTTTTAAAAACAAAACTAGGGCTAGGAGACCTTCAGATATTATTGTGGACGACCACTGCTGCAATGGATGCATGTGTTGCTGCCTTATAATTTGGCCAAATATAAGTATCTTAGGAAGCAGAATAATTAAAATGCCTGCCTTTGTAATAGCCTCGGGAGAGTGTCTATGATGCTTTAAAATGCTGCATTTTGTTGGCATGAGTAGGAAAGGGGTAATAATAGTCACATTACACTGAAATTGTGATGGATCTGATCCATGCGATTGAGTATACAGTATATCCATATTTCACCCATGAGTTAAGATAAGCATCAGTAAGAGCAACTGACTGCAAGTCAGAGCTCCTAGAAGCAAGAAGGGGTGTGTGCGGAACAGCCCAGCAATTTAAATATAACACATGATACAATGAGTGAGCGAACTGACAGAAGAAAAATCAAACAATGATGTAGTGACATTTAAGTGCACCAGTAATTATTTTATCTCCCAGGAAAATAACTATGGGCTGTCTTAACTGTCAGAACATATTCTTACAGATGATGGGTGATGTGTTTGCATGTGAATGAGTCTGCTTGTGTGTTTATGTAAATAAATATCCTCATAGCCCATGGTATTTTGGATTCTTAACTAATGATGCTGCCCCCTACAGGAGAAGGAGGGAAAAGCTCCAGGCACACTTGAAAGAGAGCCGTAGCCAGAAAAACTACAACCTCAACTCTTCCAGCCTGGCCCTTAAACCCAGCCTTAGGCCTCAGCAAGGCCTGCAGCTCCAAAAAGTAAGCACCTCTGGCCCCTTTTATACCTCGCATCAATGTATGTTTTGTATCCAGATATTCAGTATATTCTTGAAGTGGATTGCACATCTTCGGAACACAAATTAAGATATTTTTTATAAAATCTGAGAGCTCTCTGACCCTCCGTAGACAGCAATGCAACTGTAATGTTCCCAGGTCCAGAAACGTAGCAAGGACATCTGTAAAATAGTCCATGTGACATCAGTGGTTCAACCGTAATTTTATGAAGTTACGAGAATACTCGGGGAGAAGAATTGTTGAATAAATTATGTTATTATTGTTTTCTTTGCGCACAAAAAGTCGTAGCTTCGTAAAATTACGGATGTCCTTGCTACGTTTCTGGACCTGGGAACATTACAGTTGCATTGCTGTCTACGGAGGGTCAGAAAGCTCTCAGATTTTATCAAAAATATCTTAATTTGTGTTCCAAATATGAACGAAGGTCTTACGGGTTTGGAATGATATGAGGGTGAGTAATTAATGACAGACTTTTCATTTTTGGGTGAACTAACCCTTTAAAGAAAATTCCCAAAAGACATTACTTTATGTCATAGCTGTTGTCATGAACAGTTGGCAAACAAATAAGACCCCAAAGAGACTCCATTGCCTGAGAGAAACTTTAATGGATAATTTATTCAGTGCCTGATTACAAATAATTTAAAATCACTTTATGATGTGCACCGTCTTAACTGTTATTATGGCTATTTCTGTTTTTTTTTTCAATGGTTACATATAACCTAAGCTATAGATTGTGTAATTATACACTTGCTCATTATTATCATTATTATTATTTTTAGTTAGCTTATGTTTTGCAAGCTAACAGTTCAGCATGCTAGCTTAGCTTATTGTTAGCCAATCTGTTGGCTAGCTTAGCCTATAACCTGTACGAATATTTAATTATATGTTTTTTAACACATTCTACATATTAGGTTATATATTATATTATATTATATTATATTATATTACATTACATTACATTACATTACATTATATTATATTATATTATATTATATTATATTTATTATATTATATTATATCATATTATATTATATTGTTATATTAGGTTATATTATATTAGGTAGATTCAGTGGGCAGACCAAATTGTTCATGAAACTCTAAGCCATGATTTGCTACATTCTCTTGGCAGGCAGTATAAGTGTGAAGAGCATTCACATTCAGAACAGAATTTGATAAACCATAAATTTGTAGTGTATGATGCATCATGAGTATTTATGTTCCACTTTCGCAAAAAGAGAGACTATACTGTATTTTTAATGGATTTATCTATTTATTTTGTTTAGCTAGCATACAGATGGCTCAAAAAAAATAGTTTTTTTTTTAGTTTAGTCATATTAATATGATCTTAATTAATCTTAATGCTGAACGAAAAATAATAAAAATGTGATGTACAACATTAAACTGACATATTTTTCAGGTTGTTTATGTTTAGATACATATCAGCTTAGATGTGAGGGCCTTCGAATATTAGAATTTGAATATTGTCAAAAACGTTGAGAGCCACTGGACTACAAGCCACAAAACTCATGGAGTCATTAATGTAGTCAAATAGTCAAATCTGATTATGATGTGATCGCTGAAAATTCATGTTAAAAGGGATTCTGAGACAAATCCCATCACATTTCCTGCTTTTCTCCTCATCAGCAATTAGAAGCAAGAACAGCTTTACATCGCTCAGCTCATTGTAACGAGGCTCTGTCACAGCCATTCAGGGTGTGCAAGTCTCTGAGGACAGACACACTAATAATGGTAGTCACACTAGTCCATCATTGAGGGTTTGTGATTACTGCATCATTCTCTGTCTTTCCAGCTCAGAAACTGTGTGCCAGTCCAGTGTCCTAGAGATTGTAGACAGTGTGTTTCCTTCCCTGTCCTGTTGGGAGATTTGGTTAATATTCATCACTTTCTCAATCACTCCAACTAGCAGATCCATCACAGATAAGCCTATACAGGCTATTTGCATGACAAACACAGTGGTAATTTAAATGTCACTCAAACCCAGTGAGATGTTTAATCTCTACAGCAATTGCCCACTGTCAGAAGGCACGCAAATGCCAGCCAAAGCAATCAAAACTAGTCCAGTGACAAGGAAAGACCAGCTTTTTACACATGATGTTAGTTCTTTTTTCCATGACAACAGCTATTTCTTTCAGTAATCATAAGAACTGCATTGAATTAAGGATGGAGTGAGTTTTACATATCTGCATTAGAGATACCTCTATTAGCAATATCTGTGAAACTCAGTAGATTACTGATGTAAGATATGTTGCCATCCCATCTCAAATTCAGTCCTAACCTTTCCCTCTATATATATTTCATAAGCTTCTCACTCTTTCTGGTGCACTGTTCGCTGAAAGTTCAGCCCATGGGCATATAAACAAACATTTATTAACACACAGGTAATACGCATCTTGTCTTGTCTAGAATGATATTTTAGGCTAGTGTGTGCCAGGTAAATGTGAATTTTTGTTGTTTGCTTTGCCCCTACATACCAAGGATTTTGATTATTATAGGTGTGAAATATTTGTTGACTTGCGGCTGAAATGAGGCTGAGCAAGAAGAACAATTCACATCTTACCACACATTTACCACAGAAACTCTTCACTTGAATGACATTTAAAACAATTACCATCTACAGTAGCTTTGGACAGATCATGCAGATCACACACACACACATGAGCTACAGTAGGTGATGGCCTTGCATGTCATTATGGTTAAATTAAAACATCCATTACACTAAAATCCCCTCCTAAGCAGCATGTTTTCAGCCTTATGCAACTCTGTTCAAAGCAGGTCCATCAAAAACCTTTTGAACACAGACATGTGGTAACAGCTCATTATTGCCAATACATCCCATATATTCGCCCCTGTTAGCTGTATAACAGTCACGCTGTGAGGAACTCACTCGTATGGCTTTCATATGTGCCATTATGATGTCTGAGGTGGTCTCTGCAGTGCTATTTTGAAATAATCTTTTGTAGATTACTTTTTTATAAGTCTTTTGTATAGTACCTTTTTCTCTAATATGCTCATTACCTTTTGGGATGTGTAAACATCAAGTGTTCTGCCCACTGCATATTCCTCCTCAGATGCATTGACAATATTTCTATATCAGTTTGATGACCTTCTCTTCCAAAAATTCTAAGCAGTTTGTTGCTTGTATACGGTCCAAGATTGTGAGCACTTTTTTGTGAATTACCCTTGAATAAAACATCAACATGTTTCATAAAACAATAGAACCTGCTTGTTACCTGCACATTAGTCTTAATCAGATTTTTTAAATGGGAATTCGGGCTATATATAAAATTTGTAGTATTTTTTTTCTCTAAACATTAGGATGTTTTGGCTGAATTTGCCAGATTAATTTAACAGCTAAGTAGTCTATTCAAGCCTGTTTATTTAAAAGCATTTTCTGGAAATGTAGGTGGCTATGCTTCGAAAAAGAAAGAAAATGCATCTTCAAAGATCAGAAAGACATGCTTTCAAAAGATTTCGGATGAAGTCATTTTTGATTGCCTGAACAGGTTCTTTTGAGTGTGGTCAAAGTGCATCTCTAAGGGAAAAGAAATTGACTTCTTCAGTAATGATAAGGCTTCTAGCTTTTCTAATACTAGTTACACATGTGATGAAGAGTTGACCTTAAATTCAGAAATTACCATTTCTATCTTTGAATGAATCAGACAGCTTTTTCAAACCTGTTGCGGGAAACGTTTTTCAAGACTTTTGTAGTGCTCTGAGTCATAACTTTGCTTTTGTGAAGCAGTATGGCCATCATACTAATGGCAGAATGTGTTTGGGTTTGAGTAAAAACAAAGTGAACTGACTTTTAATTTCATACTGCACACCGTGGACTACAAAATATAAAATGACCATTTTAGCAAATTATATTATATACTTTTTTTTATATTTGGCCTTTATTTTCTCTCTGAATTCATATAAACCTGTTATTAGTCAGAATGTCTTAACAACACTTCCTCCCACAGTTTTATTGCTACTCTTTCTCTTGCTCCTTCTCTTCTTCTGTATAAATCTTATACTCTTTAGCTCCGTCCCACTCACCTGATATTTTCAATAGCACATTTACTGTCATTACAAGTTGCTAAAACATACAGCTATGCAATTCATATTTGAATCGAGCGAGAGATGGCCATAACATAACAAAACATAACAGCATAGCATAGCTTAACTGGTTAAATGCTAACTGTCTGTCAAAACCATATATAAAAGTCTAAAGTGATCATGAACAAGTTTTTGTTTTGAGTTAATAAAAGATTAAGGTTTATGTAAGTGATTTTAAACATGACTCACTTGAATTTCAATACATTAGATAAAACATGATAAAATTGCCCACGGTATTGCGCGTGGGTTACATTTCACATATTGTCATCTTACTTTAGCCCAGGTTTGAAAAAAGTCAAGCTTACTGTAAATGTCATTTCTTTGTCAAGGCAGTGTCAATATTTCACAGACACAAGAGGTTTCCTCCAAGCTGCTGTTATATCACAAATGAATAAAGTCCTGTAGGCTGGGATGTTACATGATGCATTCAAATCATACTTTAAAGATGCTCCCAGCTATAATTTGCAGAACTGAACATAATGAGTTACTAAATCATGCACATACACTGCATGTTTGTAAGTAGTCACAATAAAGTGTCAGTGTTCCCTGTAGCACAAACAGTAGAGCCTGGTGCTAGCAGTGGAAAAGTCATGGCATTCCCAAAGAATGCATACAACTGTTGAAATGTATACTTTGAATGCAATGTAAGTTGCTTTGGGGAAAAAAAAACAATCTGCAAAATGTAAATGAGGAAAGTAAAAGAAAAAAAAACCCAATATGTTCTCTTCTGCACTGCACATATTGTTCCCACACGAGTTCCATTAGAGGAAGCTATTGGGACATTGCTTAGATTTACATAGTCCTGAAAGTGCTATATTATCCAATTAGAGTGACTCTAGTGCCCTTCTCTGATCTCCCATCAGCCATCATTTCTCCTCCTCCTTTATATTCCCTCTCTCTCTTCTCTTCCACTCGACACTATGGAGTGAAGGTGGGATAGTGGAGGAGATTAAGTATCTCTCTGACATTTAGATCATTGTGTGCATTCTGCCTGAAGCAGAAATGGCTTTTTATGAGGAAGTCTTTCAAGGTGTGAAATTTAAATTGGATTTGTCTGCAGGTTTCATAGAGGTCTGTTGGATTATCTGAACATCAGTGGAACCCCGACCACCGACTCTTTGTCAAAGACAAGAATCGAGGGAATATTCAAGCAGAAGCCTGAGCTCTTCTTGCATGCTTGATACATTATCCAACTGGGACTGAAAATGTATTAATTAAGAGTTTAGATGACAATGTAGAATGTTTAACATTTGTCTTTGTTGTGTCTTTTGCAGTATTATAAACCCACAAGTTCCTCGCCACCGCATGTTCGAGAGTCTGGTTTCGTTCAAAGCACTGCTGCCTCTACCAGTCCACAAGGCACACTGACAGGGAAACACCCCAGGTATAAATCATCACAAAATCTTTTTATCCTTCTAAATCAGCTTTTTTCATGCTAATTTAATGGCATTCAAATAAATTTTGACAATGATTATTGTAACGTAATTATAAAGGATGCAATCCACGTCTCTGTTAAAAAGCACTGAGGAGAGAAATTAAATTTCCATCCATTACAGTGTACCCAGTCACTATGATACAATTACTGAATAGTAAGAAAATTATAATAATTCTAACTGGCAATATATTAATATGCACTTCTGTAATAGCAACAACATCAATGGAGCATATATAATCAGTTCTCTGGTGCAATAAAATATGGCAGCTTCATGTTTTGTTTTTGCTCACTAAGGCTGCATATATTTGACCAAAGATACAGTAAAAACAGTAATATTGTGAAAATTATTAGAGTTTAAAATAACTGTTTTTTATTTGACTACATTTTAAAATGTAATTACTGTGAATTTTCACCATCATTACGCTAGTCTTCAGTGTCACATGATCCTTCAGAAATCATTCTAATATGCTGATTTGGTGCTCAAGGAACATTTTTTATTATTATCAATGTTGAAATTATTTTTTTTTTCAACATTCTTTGATGAATGGAAAGTATAAAAACAGCACTTATTTGAAATAGAAAACTGTTGTAATATTAAAAGTGCATTTACTGTCAAATTCTGATAACATTAACAAAACACATTCACAAACTCTTCAGTTACTATCGACACTACAATAACATGAATCAATACATGAAAGAATAGATGTTAATTTACCTTGAAGCATAAGTAAGTGTTCTGATGGGAATGGGGGACAAAACATATTGTAATCCACGTCATTTTGAAGTATTTTGACATCTAAAACCAAAAAGGCATGTCTGAAATATTAAACGGCAACCTAAAGTAGGATTGGTCAAAAATGTATTTTAAGCAGAGAAGGGTCCATTGAACTTGAGCTATTTGGTCGTTTTAGAGTCTAATAGAATGTTTTATGGAATTCATTCATTGAGTAAAATGTTTTCTGATATGAATGATCTGTTGTATTAAATGATGGCTCATCAGTGTGTGGATAAGAGTTGTGGTTTGTGGAGGGGTTTTATGGAGGGCTGGGGATGGTCTGTGATAGCAGAGACACAAATCCTTTCAGCCTTGTTTAATCCTCATAAACATTAAGCCCTGATTCTACTCTCTCTCTGTTTGTGGCTCAGTGCACTCTTGCAATCATATATATGTATTTTTTTTCTGTGATGACATGTAATTTGTTAGCAAACAGCCTTTTGCCCCCTGTCCCATCCCTCCCCAAATGCTCATGTCTTCAAATGATCATCACAATCTAACTGATTGCTCTTGACTTAGGGTAAGAAAGGATTTAAATATGCAGTGAATTATCGCTCTGTTGGAGACTCATCTAAAATCGAGCATGAATTCCTCTTTGGGCTATTTTTACCAAGTAGTCAAATGTGTGCTCCTTTCTGCCATCGGTCTGATAGGTCAATTAATCTCTATGTTAATGTGGCCCCATTCAATGGAAATGTATGTACAACATCTCCCCGTAGTTTGCCTAGCACTATCACATAAATATCTATTTGGGAACAAGGTGACTCATTGGTAATGTGCTCCCTTTTTCCAATGACAAAAGAAATGTATCTAGTAAATCATTTTTGTTGTTGTTGTTTTAATGAAGTCTACAGGTGTGTAGACTAAAGCCTACATTCCTGAGTGTTGTTTATTCCCAGTGTCTTTCTCAGCGAGCTTTATGAAAACATGTCCTGCTTTGTAAAACATTCAGCACACCAGATGGAGACAGAGAGAAAATGAGAGTGTAATGCATTTTGAACATAAGAATACTATGGACTGCGACAGAAAATTAGAGTATAGCAGCTTTGCTTTGTTCAGAGTCACGTGTGCTATTTTAGGATTTCCTTTAAAAAAAAAAAAACACCAACAGAACAGAGCTGTAAAAGTATATAAAATGTCAGTACTGTTGCATTTATTTATTTGCTTATCCATATCTGAATTCAAGTAAATATATTATTTTCTTTCTTACATAAAACCTTCTTTTTGATTTGGTTGTTTTGTTTGTTTGTAGGGTTTTTTAAAGTCCCCAGTAATGCACAAACACAATAATAGTAATAGTTAGAATAATAATAATTATTGTTGTTGTTGTTGTTGTTGTTATTATTATTCATTTGTTTTCTGATGCTTTTAATTCTGGCAGAATGAAATCCCCACAGCTTATTATTATTTATCCCTCAGTAAGCATGCACTTGTCAAATTTGTATCATTTCTCCTTGGGGATCAAAATGACCCTAGCAATAACACAAAAACACAAATCAATGATATGTTGTGTATTTTATTTTACAGGAGTGGTTCCCTCTCTCATAGTCCAGATCAAAGGATTCGTTCTGCTTTTCGGCCTGCATCTCGCAGAACACCACCCATAACCAGAGGATGTCTCAATGCCATTGGTGGAACGAGAGATTCTGGTCCCGTCTACCAACATCTCCAGGAAGTAGACAGCTCAGAGAGGGAGTCAGTGAGAAGGTTAGTTAGCAACATTCATTTGCTACAGGTCAATGAGCTTAATGCTAATTATTTCATGCTTACGCATAGTCCTACCCAGTGGATTAACCCGATGGATTAAACTCAAGTCTGTGATTCTCTGAGGGATGGGATGCATTAATGCAATGAAAATTGCATGCAAAGAGTTTTTTTGGTGTCCATGTGAGTCAGTTCTGGTCGGTGACACTGTCTGCCTCTATCAGGACCCCTCTGTCTGCTCTCTCTATCCTCTGATTTATGAGCCAATCTGTAGTTTTAAACAACCACTTCTGTCACACAACCCCCAAGGCAGAGGCTGTTCTTAAACGTACTCTTTGTCATTTTTTCTGTTTCTGCTACTGCATCTTAGATCTGAATTCAAGACAAGAAGTTTTCTCCAGGTTCAATATACACTGAGCAAAATTATAAACGCAACACTTTTGTTTTTGCCCCCATTTTACATGAGCTGAACTCAAAGATCGAAAACTTTTTCTATGTACACAAAAGGCCTATTTCTCTCAAATATTGTTCACAAATCTGTCTAAATCTGTGTTAGTGAGCACTTCTCCTTTGCCGAGATAAACCATCCACCTCACAGGTGTGGCATATCAAGATGCTGATTAGACAGCATGATTATTGCACAGGTGTGCCTTAGGCTGGCCATAATAAAAGGCCACTCTATAATGTGCAGTTTTACTGTATTGGGGGTTCCGAAAACCAGTCAGTATCTGGTGTGACCACCATTTGCCTCACGCAGTGCAACACATCTCCTTCGCATAGAGTTGATCAGGTTGTTGATTGTGGCCTGTGGAATGTTGGTCTGGTGTGGTTACACGTGGTCTGCGGTTGTGAGGCCGGTTAGATGTACTGCCAAATTCTCTGAAACGGCTTTGGAGACGGCTTATGGTAGAGAAATGAACATTCAATTCACGGGCAACAGCTCTGGTGGACATTCCTGCAGTCAGCATGCCAATTGCACGCTCCCTCAAAACTTGCGACATCTGTGGCATTGTGCTGTGTGATAAAACTGCACATTTTAGAGTGGCCTTTTATTGTGGCCAGCCTAAGGCAATAATCATGCTGTCTAATCAGCATCTTGATATGCCACACCTGTGAGGTGGATGGATTATCTCGGCAAAGGAGAAGTGCTCACTAACACAGATTTAGACAGATTTGTGAACAATATTTGAGAGAAATAGGCCTTTTGTGTACAAAGAAAAAGTCTTCGATCTTTGAGTTCAGCTCATGAAAAATGGGGGCAAAAACAAAAGTGTTGCGTTTATAATTTTGTTCAGTGTATAAAGATTTATTTAATTGTTTGCTTGTTTTCTGTGTATCAGTGTTTCCTGCACCGCTTTTCAGCAGCAGTGCTCCCCGGCTGCTGAATCTATACCACCACCTCCAAATCTACAGTGTCACAGTAAAAAAAAATGATATTTCATATCTGAAATGTGAATGTGAGTGTGCAGTCTGTGTTCAGTGTGATGCAATTCAAATGTTATGTATCAAAAAATAATGACATGAAATGTCTTTCTATTGAGCTGCAAAAATAAACATGCAGTTCGACCAGTGTATACAGATTTACAAACAAACGACTTAAGTTGCTTCTTTTTAGTGAATAGTTTGTTAAACTGATTGATAAACAATTGACTGTTGAGCTGGTTCTTTGTAATTAATAGTTTTTAGACTGATTCTTAAACAACTGATTCATATGAGCTGATTTGAGTTGGTTCATATGAGTGGATATATTTATTTATTTAGTATTTTCTAGTTTTTTTTTGTTTGTTTGTTTTTTTGATTGATTCTAATGGCCTGGTTCTTTTTAATAATTTTTTTTTAGTCTGATACATAAACTATTGATTCTTATGAACTGTTTGTTTTTTAAGTCAATAGATTTTAGTCTAAATTATAAACAAATGACTTACATGAGCTGGTTCTTTGTAGTGAATAGACTGATTCATAAACAACTAATTCTTAAAAAAATATTTATTTATTCATTCATTTGTTTATTTGGGGGGAAGGGTCTAATTTAGAAATAATTGATTTTAATAGGCTGGTTCTTTTTTTTTTTTTTTTTTTTCTAGTCTGATACATAAACAGTGGATTCTTATGAACCAATTTTTTTAAGGTAATAGCTTTTAGTCAGATTCATTAACAAAGCAATACAACAATTGACTCTTATGAAGGCAAATTAAAAAGAATGATGCAAGGGGGCGCTTACATAAAATGATAAATAAAGAGAAAACTATTTAGGAAAGGGCTAGTTTGCCCAAAATAAAATAACTATCTATCTCCATTTGCAAACGTAATTCAACATCCAGTGCAAACTTTACTGCATGATGTCACCACTTGTGGACAGGGTCCCGTCTCATGGTTTCAAGAGAGGTTCCAAGATTGGTGGTATGTCACTGGCAAGGTTGGCTTTTTAATGTGTGATAAAATACATTTACCCAGAGTATATCTTTAATAGTTTTGTGTATGTGCCATAAAGCCAGTTTTATAATTGCTCCCAAGTTTTGCCATAAAGCTCGTTTTATAATTGCTCCCAAGGTTTTAGTGGCGAGCATATGCCTTTGTTTCTATGCTGGCTGCAAGAGCAACAAGCGAGCTTGTCTGAGCTGTATTACTGAAGTTCTGTATGCAGGCATGACTCACTGAGACAGGAGGGCACTGGGGAGTGCTGCCTTTTCCAGGAGCAGCACAGCTAATAAAAACCACACTGTCATAGCCAATTAAACAGCCAGTGATATATCAATGGAATGGGCAGTCCTGGATGAGTTTGCTAGAATGGGCCAGCCATCAACTCTCACACACTATAGGCTATCCTGGCCCAGTTAGTCCTCATTTGCTCTACAGGATGGCTTTGTAGTGTGGAAGACTCCACCTCGCCTTAAAATCTCCAACAGGGTCTCAGCACTGACCTATTTCCAGCCTTCCAGCCTGCATAAGAATATTCCTCTGCCGGAGAGAGCTCTGTTACCATAGAGACAGGCTGGGAAACGGGACAGGAAAGAGAAGGAGCGAGTGGGAGCGAGACAGGAGAGGAGTGACAGAAAAAAGAGGGAGGGAGAGACAGAGATAGAACTGTTTGGCATATGACAGCAGAAAAAAATCGTGGCCGTCTCATTCCTTCCGTCCCAGAAAGCATGCTGTTTTCTCACAAAAATGGCTTACGCGGGGAACAGATTTCAGTGTTTGCTCATTAAAGTGTTTTCAGTATGAGGCTTTTAAAGATGCGGGCTGTTCATTATACAGGACTTCAAAACATGGCCCGAATATATTCCACTACAATGACACCCTTCGAGCTGTTTTCCTTTCAGCCTAATACATTTCATGCAGGTCTCTGAAATTGTTACATGATATGATGAGGACTAACAGCATTGCAGGAAATAAGGTTACTGCACAGCAGTATCACTTCCTTCGGATGTTACCTACTAACCCTTTCCTACTTGTTTACACTGTAACAATTAAAATAGAAGGAAATTATCTCAGTCTTTTTGAGATACAGAGAGCATCACATTTATATAAGACCACAGTGTCTCTTTCAACCTGGCTAGCCTTTAATCTGATTGGCTGACTGTTGTTAACGGGATAGTTCACCCAAAAATTTAAATTCTGTCATTAATTACTCCACCCTCATGTCGTTCCAAACATTTAAGACCTTCATTTATCTTTGGAACACAAATAAAGATATTTTTGATGAAATCCAAGAGCTTTCTGACCCTGCATAGACAGCAACACAACTACTACGTTCAAGGCCCAGAAAGATAGTAAAGACATTGTTAAAATAGTCCATGTAACATCAGTGGTTCAACCGTAATGTTATGAAGCTATGACATTACTTTTTGTACGCAAAGAAAACAAAAATGACGACTTTATTTAAAGATGTCTTCCTTTCCGTGGCAGTCTCCGAGGCATGTTTACAATAGTACCACTACGTATGCATGTGCATTCCTCTGCATGTAAACAAGGCACAGCGCATCTGGGTTCTACGTCAGAACGCTGCATGCATTGTGGTACTCTTGTGAACGCGCATCGACTGACACGGAAGAGAAGAAATTGTTTTCATTGCTCACAAACAGTATTCTCATAGCTTCATAACATTACGGTTGAACCACTGATGTCACATGGGATATTTTAACGATGTCCTTCTGGGCCTTGAAAGTGGTAGTTGTGTTGCTGTCTATGCAGGGTCAGAAAGCTTGCGGACTTCATCAAAAATATCTTAATTTGTGTTCCAAAAATGAATAAAGGTCTTATGGGTTTGGAATGACATGAAACAACACATGAAACATTAAACTTGTTTCTGCTGTTTTCCCACTTTTCAGTATGGTTTGTTGTTTTTTGAGGGGAACCCACCCCTAAATGACAGTCTCTTCCTCTCTGTAGGCAGAATAAGCTGCAGACCAGACTTTTCATCATATAGTCATATATTCATCATATATGTGCCGCTGGAGGAGGTGGAGAGAGGGTCACTGGAGAAATGTGCTCAGCAGAAGTGTCATTAAAATCACATGACTTTCTAGCCACCTTCAAAAAAGCTCTCTTTTCTGTTGATATTGAGGATTTCAGTAAATGATCACATTATATTGAATCATGATCTCTAATCTTAAGCAAAATCTTACAAACTCAGGCAAAATCCATGCATCCTTAATATCAAGTCTTGATATTCCAGGAATGATGATCCATGGCCTGCTGAAATACTTGACATTGCTGTCATATCGTCTGTTTTATAGAAAATAGAATCAGACAATTTGCCTCCCCTTGATTGAGGCTTAACTCTGACTCGGTCATTATCAGAAAAAGCAGTGCTTGGTTAAATATTGATGCTATGAGAAAAGCCATTCTTTGTCAGGGATTATGAATTATTACACAAAGATAATGAATCAGGGGAACAATACCGATTGCTCCTAAATTGAGAGATTAGTTTACCAAAGGTCTGCTAGGATGTAACTTCTGCTTTCATCCATTTTAAAAGAATTCGTCAGAAGATTAACTTAAGAATGACTGCCGTGGGAGCAGCAAGTTCTGAATCTGGAAGCCAGCTAATGCCCAGCTGAACTAAACGATTATGAGCCAGAGAAGACACCGGGCTACAATCCAGATCAAAGAAACGTTGAATAGCTAATAACCTGAGATACCTGAGTGTGTAGTAATTGTTTTATTTCCTCAACATTTAATAGGCTCAACATGTACAAAAATCCTTGCTTTGTTTTATATGCCTCTTTAACAATGCAATATAATGTTATCATCTATTATGTAAGATATTATAAGACACCGTGTCTGCTGTGCAAATTCATGTTTTTTAATATGTTGAAATGCATTCTTGTATCCTAGCAGAGATCTATAAGTAAGCAATAGTTTGACAAAAAGTGTACGCAACAGACTCTGTACAGCAAATAAATGCTGATCTGTTTGTTTGAGCATCACAACCTGCCCAATAATAGCAACACTGATTCAACCAATGACGCACGTTTGGGGCAGGACTATTTGTTGACTGACTAATAGTAACACTGTACTACCAAGACAATTCACTAAAATTACTATACGTGGGAGAAAATGCGATGCGCAATATGGCAGAACAAGTCCCGCTTTATAAATTAAATAGCTAACCGGCAATTGGTAAAGACATCACACCATTGTATCTGCCGCCTGAGGCTTTGGTTCCCACAGAAACAGGTTATGTCCTGAGACATGCACTTGGGACTGCACATGTGCAACGGCTGAATCAACTTGAAAAATACGCTTTTTTGATGCTATTTGAGAGTGAGAAACCAAATCCATGGGTCAGTTCCTGTCAGATTTTGTTGCTGGGTTGGAAATATTTAAATGAGGATTTGCAGTTTTAAGTTTTTGAGAGTTCAGTATTTCCCTATTCAAGTAGATAGTCATAGTTGGTCTCGGATGCCCGAAATAGTGGCCTGGAGGTGTAGCCAATATGGCTGCTTAGTGAACTGCCTTTCCTTCAAAAAGGGACTTTGCTGTCAACAAGAGTGACAGAGTATTTGGGAACCTGTTTGAACCAGTCATTATTTTCACGATTCTGTTTGTTGATGCTACAGGCGCAGAAATTACACACTTGAGCTTTATTCGGCTTTCAGAATATGTATCAATCCTTTTTGAGATTCAACAAACCTCTTTCATGGCACTCTAATAGTTTTCAGTATATCCCTGTCTTTTCCTTAATCCCCCTCTATTTCAGTCTGTTATCTTTTCCTCTTTCTTTACAGGAACCTCTCCGGGCCAGGTAACGACCTACATCAGGATTCCTTTTACAATATGCAAGCCTCACAATCCTCAAAATCTTGCAGCAGCCATTTAGACCACAGGTGTGCTAGGAGCCTCAGGTCGGGCGGTTCCAGCCAAAGTCCTCCTGCTCCCTACCGTCCCTGCTCTATCCCAATCATCCCCTCTGTCCACTCCTACCAGGATGAGGTATCGTGTATGCAAACCGCCCCTAGTGCTGGAAGCAACCGTTCTAGTCCTCTGGAAAGCACAGAGGAAGCTTCGGCCTTTGATCAACAGTCTAACGTAACGGTCTCCAACCGAGGGGCTGGTAGACAGGAGGAAGTGGCCTCACTACTCCACGAGGCTCAGGAAGAGCTCAGAGTGCTAGCACATGCCCAGAGGAAGCAGGAGGACATCAGTAGCGCCGTCCCTCAGGGGGCCAAAGAGACTGTGTGCATCCTTTTAGCAAATGGGGGTGGACAAGGGGGAGTGGCTTCTTTTGGGCCCACGGAAACTCAGTTAGTGAGCCCCAGAGACACGCACAAAGATGCCACAAAGCCTGGCCAATGAGAAGGGGTTGACAGAACTAACCACAAATGTGTGTCTTTGGGCTTCAGAATAATCCGCCAACATTGGGATACCACTGAAAGCTACGATTGAATTTCTGAGGACGTGCTGTGGGCGATAGCGTGAGAGAGTGACAGTCTCGAACATGTGAAAAGATAATTTATTTATATGCATTTATTTAAGGAGAAACTTAGAAAAATAAACCAAATAGTCTGTCATCTCCATGGTGTTTTTAACTGTATAAAATATACATAAATATATATAAATGGATATAAATATATGAATTCAAACTGGTGACCAAGTACAAAAATGGAATATGGGAATGAGAAACTTTCTTTTGAAGCATATTAGCCCCACATCCTTAAAGACTCGATGCTTGGTGGTTCAAAAGTTATAAAAAAAGGATTTTTTCCACTTGTTTCACTCATTTCCAGTCAAGCTAATCTTGTCCGACACACAATCTTGTGTTTTGCACCTGCCACTGCAGCAGCTGTGTTTACTATCACCGTCCCAGTCACTGTCCTCTACCCTGCCAAGGAATATGGCTCCATCTGCCTTTGAAAACCGTGGAACGTGGATTACAATTGGATTAAACTTCTAAACGCTAATCGTATCCAGGCATGAGGTAACTGATAGTTAAGCACTGCCTCCAAGACATCGATTGGAAGAATTTGATGTGTCCGTCCATTTGTGGAACAATCTGCGTTTTGTTTTCTGTGCCTCGGTGCGTTCACTCCTTCATTTGGGTTCGGATACAAGTAAAGATAAGCTACTGGAACAGAGCACATCGTACTACACACCACCCGAGATGCACAAACAGACCGTTGGCACCTCTCTGGATGGACTGAGGAGATTCCTGCACAGGGATAACAGAGAGCTGGCTTGGCCAACAAAAGGAGCTTTTGTGTTTTTTCTTTTCGTTCTTATGAAATTATCTGCTGCTTTCTGGGAAGGTGGGTGGGAGCAGCAAGTCACTATGAGTCTGTATGCTACCTTTTAAATTGGGACATAATATTTCTGTGAATTAACAACCAAATGTGGTATGAAAGAAAAATTAACAATGAATCTTTCATGAAGCTGTTTCTTTGTTTCCAATGTTTTTTGTTTTGTTTTGTTTTGTTTCTTTCTGACCCCCTCACACAATTGTGCATGTTGATGGTATTGTTTTGCAGAACCAAACCATGATAGTTTTAATGATTTATAGAAAAGCCCCACAAAGAAGAAACTGCATTATAATTGACCTGCGTCTGCTGATTTCAGCCCAAATCCTGGCATAAAAACACATGAGTGGTCTGCTGAGTTTTATAGATCCCATTTCTGAGAAATGCTCAATGGCTGCATTATATTGAATTGACTTTTTTATGTGCTGTTGTTTCTCCTCAAGCATTTATTTAAGACCGCTACCTGGAGTTTGATTTTAAGACCTTCTTTAAAGCATGCTGCATTTGTCCTCCATCAGAGGTTGTGTCTACCGTGCCAGCCATAACTCAAGGCAAAGGTGAAATGAAACATCTTCTGGTAAAAGAAAGCAAAGTAAAGGTTAGCCTGTGGCAGAAAGGAGCTGTAAGGGCAGACAGATAAGACTCTCACTTTATCTTATAACACCTTCCCTGAGCAAAAGCACTGACCTCATCAGTGAATTGCAGTGGAGTGGCATGTCTATCAAGATAATCAAGCATCATCAAAAGTAATGTGAAAGTATTGCTGTAAGGGAAAGACAAGATAGATTTAGATCTTAAAGCTCTACCGTTTCTTTATAAAACAAATGAAATTTTAATAATAGAAAATATCACAGTGCAACTCTTAGTTGTCAGTGGGATTTCATTTAGGAGGCATCAGTTTGATATGAGCTGTTGGTAGACTGTCTTTTTTTTGTAACATATTTTTAAAACCAATTAAAATGAGATGTTTGTTAGTATGAGCATTCATGATTGTTTTTTTTTCTGTTTTCAAATTCTGTGTATGCTCATTTTGTGCATTTCATTTTACTGGCATACAGTCGATATCCAGAAATGCCACACATGCAACAAAGATTATACCACATTGCTAAGTGATCTATAAAACGACAGACTAATTCATATGCAGGTCATAGCAGCAGATATATGAACTGTCCATCTGTTACAGCTCTTAATGTTCATTTTCAGTTGAAATGATGTGAGAAAGTTTCATTTGAGTTGGACCATATTTTTGTACACTAGTGCTAAAGTGTATTAAATTATGTTTTTGCACAGTAATTACAATGTATGGTAATTTATGCTGTCAGGATTCCAGAATGTAAGGTATGTGACTTGAATTCATCACAGAAGACAGTATATTGCAAGACATGTTTGCAAGACAGAATGCGCAAGCTGCAACTGTGCAAGGTGTAACAAGTGTGCAACGGAAACGTCATGGTTCTGTATAACAGCCCCTTGATGTACTTTACTGTGCAATTTCAAAATCGAGAAATGAAATTTCAGTTCATTCTTGTATGTGAAAAACTGTATTATTGCCCTTCCCAATTGAAATAGTTTTTCTTTTCATTTAGTTATTTTTTTATTTTTTTTTTCAATAAAGATGAATCTTCAGTGTTGAATAATGTTAGAATGAGTATTTTTTAACTAAATAATAAATTATTATTAAATAGAAATCATAAGATTAAAATAGTGTTATTCTAGTATTATTTATATACTAATATTTTTACAGTTTCTCTTAGACGCTCTTTACATTTCTCAGATGGCAACTAAAATTCTCAAAAATACTTGTTCAACCTCCACGTCATCTAGTCACCTGTGCAAATCATAAAAGCAATTTCTCGTTGTTTTGAACAATGCTGTGGTTGTTCATGCAGTGATATATGCAGTTATATACAATTTTCTGATGTTTCCTATATTATCAATTACTTATATCATGTTGATTAAAATATATAAAACTGGTTGAATAGTCTTTCCCCACAAAACATCTGTATGTAAACATGTATGTTAACATAAACAGTCAAGCATATATCCATACATTTCTATTAGATTTGTTTATGAATTCCACAGGTAGAGCTTGAATTTGACTAATGAAGGGGAATGTAAAGTGTTAGATCAACCAATGATCACTACCAGTTCTCTGCTCAGAGGTGCGTCTCAGTTGGAAAGAATATATATACAGTGTGTGCATAATTATTAGGCAAGTTAATATTCTGATCATATTTTTTTCCAAGCACATTTTACCAAAGTTTAAGGAGGGGAAAGCATTACCAAATAGAATTTGCAAAGTTTAGGCATGACCTTTGGACAGCAAAATGCTCATTGGGTCAGCACGGTCAGAAAAAACAGGTGGAGAAGAAAAGACGCATGTTAACTGCAAAATAATTAAAGTGAAGATTTAGGTGTGAAACCCATCAGGAACCATTTAGTCTCCAGCGCCACCATTTTCCAAAACTGCAACCTTCCTGGAGTCTCCAGAAGTGCAAGATGTCAGGTTCTCAGAGACTTTGCTCGGGTAAAAAAATCCTAAAAAAAATTTAAAAAACCCTTACTTAAGAATAACATGCAAGTGTTGTGAAATGCATGAAGGCTGTTTTTTTATAGGCTTTATAGACAGATACATTGAGAGTGACCTTGGAAGGACCAGCATCACATCCTCTTGTACCACTCTTTCAAGAATTTATCTTCCAGAATCTGGCAGTCAGTTTTGGGAGTTCATTTTTAGTCCATCTCTGCAAAGTAGACTTTTCAGGATAGGAGATGGACTTAAAATGAACTCCCAAAACTTACTGCCAGCAGAGTTGGGCAGCATTTTAATTAAATGTATTTGAAATATGTATTTAATTACTACATATGTATTTTGTCATTTGTATTTTGCTGGGCAAAAAAAAAATCTAATGTGATTTGATTAAATTAAAAACGTTCTGAAACAGTATTCTGTATTTAAAATACTCAAAATACATAATCAAGTATAGTTCATTTTATTCTCAGATAATACAATATCTTTCTTCACAAAAAACAACACTATTTATACATGTATTTATTTAACAGACCATATTCACACACTTATTTAAATTTCCTTGCATTTGTACAGAGCACACCTGTACACATAAATACCATATATTGTTTATATTGCCTTGTCTTGTCACTATTATTCTGTTTGTTCTGTGCAAGCCTCTGTCACCATAACAAATTCCTTGTATGAGTAAACATACCTGGCAATAAAGCTCTTTCTTCATCTGTGATAGTACTGCCAACTATAGCCTATCATAGTTTTTGGCTATATGCAGTGAATCATATGACATCCTGTGGGATCTGGTTTAGTTCACCCAAAAAAAAATAAATAAATCTGTTGTTACTCACCCTCATGTCTTCCACTCCTGTTGACCCTTGTTCATCTTTGGAACATAAATTAAGATATTTTTGATGAAATCCGAGTGTTTTCTGTCCCTCTACACTCAGTCATGGAACTTATACATTCAAGGTCCAGAATGGTAGGAAAGACATCAAGTAATTCATGTCATTAAGTATATCATTAAGTAATCCAATTTTATTAAGTGGCATGAGTGCTTTTTTTGCACACAAAAAAAACATAATTTACCACTTTATTTCCGAAAATATTATCCAAACAGGTGTTGTGGTACTCTAGTGAACAGTCACTCATGTGCGTCGTGCTGACGCAAATCTTCTATGGCATGAACACAACACAAATACATTTTAACCTCCTGAGACCTCATATGAGGACATTATATTTTGGTGTATTTCTCTGAGACTATACATGCCACATTCAGGGCTTTTCAGAGATACTAAATGTTTAGATGTTTTACTATGACCACTCCCTCTCCTTGGTCTTCAAATATGTCTGATATTAATTTAGTGACACTCTTATGGAAATATGATAATATTTTGTAATTATCATTTAAATCTGTCTAATTTTTAAACTGTCTGTCATAAATCAACATCTCAGGAAAATGTTATGGGGTTTCAAATCAAAATATGACTTTCTGTTACAAAACAGGATGTTGATTTCATACATGTCCTCATATGAGTACACTGGGACTAAAAGCATGTTTATTAGCATTTTGGGAGACATAAAAAATTAATAGGGAAAGAAATTATGTTCCAATATTCTATGAGATATTATATATTATTATGAAAATCTTGTCAAATATTACTCCCATTATTACACTTCTTTTTTCATTACATGTTGCCCCAAAAACACATTAATGCTCTCGTGAACATTACACAATGCAGATCAATATTTTCATGAATAAAGCTGCAATTTATGTTTTATTGTGCAAACAAAGCACTCGCGTTGTTTAATAAAGTTGAGGTTAAGCCACTTACGTCACATGGAGTACTTTAACGATGTCTTTCCTACCGTTCTGGGCTTTGAAATGTATAAGCTACATTACTGCCTATGGAGGGAAAGCTCTCGGATTTCATCTAAAATATCTCCATTTGTGTTCAGAAGAGGAATGAAGGTCTTACGGTTGTGAAACGACACAAGGGTGAGTAATTAATGACAGAATTTCCATTTTTGGGTGAAATTAACCTTTTTATTCATCCATGGTTCCATCTTTCAACTGGAAAAAAAAATGAAAGAAGCTGTTTTGGTGCTCAGTGCAAACTGGCTAAGTATGTATTAAAATATATACTATCAGATATTGCTCACTGAATGTTATTAGAGGACAGAAGAAAAGACTTCTCTAGAACTTTACTTGCTAGCTGACAAGTGACGTTAGCTTGCTTGGCAAAAGGTAGCTACTTGTTTCTATAGACAAACTGAAATTTTTCAAGTATTAAAATAAATATTATTGCCAATGTCTGAACAGCATGTAACGAAACTTAAAAAATGAAAGCCTGTAGACCATTATGTGAATGAAATCCAAGGGAAACTGTCATTAGAGTGTAATTTTAATGAACCTCATCTGTCGACATGATGTCGGTGAATCCCACTGGCCATTGCTGGCTTGTATTCTAGGCCTACTACGGAGTGTGTGCAAGAGCATGAGCAATAAGTTACTGACCACAGCTCACTTAACGGCCCTTGATTGCTTGTAAATATTGTTTGTATTTTTGTATTTTCAAATTACAAATTACTTGTATTTTAATTAAATACATTTCTCACACCAGTATTTTGTATTTTAAATTAAAAATACATTTGATGAGCAAGTATTTGTAATTTGTAACTAAATATTTTTTGATGTATTTGTGCCCATCTCTGACTGCCAGATTCTGGAAGATAAATTCTTGAAAGAGTGGTAAGAGTGATGGAAAGAGTGGTATTACAATTTGTCACAATTTCTGACAATGCAAGACCAACACGGAAACAAACAAGGTAAGAAACAAGAAGAGTAAGGATGTGTGATGGAAGGGTGAAATAAGTGGACTTTTGTGGACCATGTTCTTAACCATGACCTTACAATGGCCAAGATGGGTCGAAAGGTGCAGCTGAATGTTAGAAAAAGAACCATTTCCTCAGTCATTCAAGCATTTCATAGACAGAACAGCTAATTCAACAATGTGCACTTTACGGTAATACTGTATACTTACTGTAATGTTTCATAGAGTAGTCCACTTGCACTTTACATTATATAGTGAATATACTTTATACAGACATATTCTGTAACACACAAACATGTATACAAAGAGCGAGAGAGAGTCTCTTGTAATCAATATCCCATATACAGTAATATGTAAATTTGTACTGTTGAAATTATGTCATACAGAAAAAGTGCAGCCTTGTGCATTTTGTTGGGTATCAAACCATTGGAAATAGGAACCAGCAGGAAATACCTGCAGAGTACACAGTTACATTTGAGTCCAAAATGGGCCGAGTCGGACTCGAGTCCGAGTCCCAAACAACCGAGTCAGAGTCCAACGAAACACTATTATTTATTATCTTAACTTTGTTTTAACCTTTACAACTAGAAAAACGCAATGTCCATTTAAATGTAACAAAAGCAAACCTCTATTGTATCTTGCCATTTAGATTTTTTATTAATAATTAGTGCCCTGCTTTGCTTAGCAACCTTAAAGTCATGTAACAGAAGTTATGGCTGAATTGATTTATGTATTGTGACATATTTCAGAGTGAAACAGGTTTTAGAATGTGAAAAATTAAAGGGCGGGACTTGACTTTATTCATCGTTAAAATAAATGTATAAATTCCAGTGTGGGGGTAAAGAAGTAGGTATCTTGGTAAATGGGACCTTAAGAGCAGAAAATGCACCTTTTATCTCAATAAAAAACCAAGCTTTGTATAATTTTTATGATTTTTAATGAAATATGAATTTTGAATAATCAATATTAGTTTATGTCAGCTTACTCTATTCATCAGTGTTTGAACCATTAAAGAAGAAACTGCATTTTAATTTCTGGGTTAAAAAAACAAAAAAATAAATGGACGCCAAAGTACACGGACCCATTAGACAGTAGCCCCTCACTGCAGAACAAAGATCCAGGGGGCAGGGTTGGATCCACATCTAGGGGGTGGAGATGGTAGGTTTAGGGGTGGAGATGGGTTTAGGG